TATATATATGTGTGTGTGTGTGGAATTGGTATAGCTTTAGAACTTCAATAATGAGTAGGACGCTTAATTCGTATAAGAATTCCACGTGAACTCGTATTAGGATAAGTATTTTGGTGTGACAGTTTTATCCAAAAGCTAATTATTTTTTCCAAAATATATTTTAATTTTTAGAGGGTATAAAAGTTGATCAATATTTCAGGGATATTTTTATCGTTCAAAATTTAGCGTAAAACATTCGTTCTTTTATAATAATAATAATAATATATATATTTAGTTTAATCGGTTGGACAAAGGATTATTTAGTTTAATTCTTATGCAAACAGGCGAATATTGGCCCATTGTAGGAACAGTTGATGGACTTGTTTTATTTCGTGTCTAGTTGGTGGAATATTTGCATATGATTAAGTAGCTTTCCCCACATGTGGGATCTCCAAAACTCAATGGCCTGATAGACAATTATGCACTATTAAAATAATACTCCTACTATTTACTTGTGAAGTTGCAGTTTTAGAACAAATAAATAAATAAATAAATAAATATATATCACTCTTTAATAATTTAAACTTTTACTTAAACTCTTGTCATCACAATCTTATATGGTATCAGAATTGGCAAAAATGCTTGTAATTTGAATGATAATTCCGTGTCTTAACTAATTTTTTCCTATATTAAATGTGTCTTTGATTTCTGAAAAAGAACCAAACCCGCATGTGGTGCAAATAAATAAACAATATAGTAAACGCATGCTGAGCTGGGGTTTGAGGAAAAACCAAACCAAATAGGATTTATTATACGTAGCATCATCTTATATTTTAACAAGAGGATGTTTCCTGGATGATAACTCTGGACATTGCGCCAAGGCTTCCCTTTGGTTAACACAATAGTATATGACATAATAATTTGTTCATTGAGACGGTTTACGCAATACAATGAATGATATAATATGATGATATACTAACACTTCGTCAATTATGGCAGCCCAAGCGAATGGAACACCGGCACATCAATGGCGACGTCGAGAAGTTGTTACGGCGAGACAGTGCCGATGACCGGCACGGCATATCCGGGCACGTACCCCGATCAAATGAAGGTGTTGCAGGCAGTAATAAGGGACATGAACAACCCTCCTTTTCTTTTGGACATAACTTTTCTATCAGCAATGAGAAAAGATGCACACCCTTCTATCTATAGTGGTGCTCTCACCTCTGAACAAAGAGCAAATCCTGATCATTCTGCTGATTGTAGTCATTGGTGTCTTGCTGGTTTGCCTGATACTTGGAACCAACTTTTTTACACTGCCCTTTTCTTTTAGCATTTGGTATATTTGGTTCCTTTCGGGACGTCTGATAAAATTGAAACGATACAGAAAAGATTAGTATGGCTCTTGCACAAGAATGACACGCACAAATCAAGACCGGTGGTATATTTCCTCTTTTTTCTTTTTTCTTGTTGCTTGATATGTTTTGCTCACAATTGATGCAATTCATTTTAGGACATCTTTACAAAGATCAAACATGTACTTGAGTAAAGTTTCATTTCCTGTTGGTGTAAATGCTTAACAAATACATCTTGTTCATTTTGTAATTATTGATCACTTCTTGTGATTCAATTTTATTGAACTTGGGTCATCTGTGTCAAAATAACAGATTTCATGTGATCTATTTCAAAGTCTAATTTGATTTATATCCATTCAATTGGCAAGCCAATCTATCCATTGTGATTTTGACCATTGCTTCCATCTTGCTCAGCTCACATCATTTTAGAGTGTCTCAGAAGTTGGGGTGCCGGGGCGGGCGAGTGGGGGCAGTGGTGGATGCACATGATGGCTTCGTTAATGTACTTCTAAGATTGAACCCGCTTACACAAAATCCTGGGTCCGTCGCTGGGTGAGGGTGTGGGGTGGGGAAGAGCACAAAGCTCACATATATACATTCTGATCTATAAACATGTCATGATCTAGAAAAAAGGGAAAAGATTAAATTACACATAAGATTAAAGTGACACATAGGCAGCAACAAGAAAGCGCTTAAAGCCCATAGGTTGCACATTAGGAGTGCTCAAGATCTTTAAAACCTCCATATATGATCTTGATTTTTATTCTAGTCTTACATTTACCCAATTCTCTTTTATGCAGCAGGATATCTAAAAGACATGCTGCTCTTTTCCTATAATAATGATAATAACAATAAAAATAATAATAATAATATTTCAAACATGTAGTAGTTATGAAGACAGTAGTAGACTAATGCTAGCTCCTTATTGTGAGCTCTGCAGCAGCACCCACTCCTACCATCCTCGGCACATTATCGATGATCGTTGTGTCCAAATTCCCATTACCAACATCGGGGAGATGATCGTCATAAGCCGAGTTATGTACACCGATTGCAGCCCTACCGGAAGGATCAAGGTTGTTCGACCACGAAGCATCCCACTCAATAGCTTTAGCTGTGCTGCAAGCTATACTCGGTCCTCCAGGAACAGTTAGCCTTGCTGAATTCTGCAAATCCAACAATAGTAACAACATGGTTTAAAAATTGACTTATTGTACTGTTTGGCTAAAACGAAGCAAAGATACTCTTAACATGGTGTGATATTGTCGGCTTTGGGCCAAGCCCGCATGGTTTTTCCCAAAAGGTCTCACACCATTAAAAGTATCCAACTTCTTATAAGTAGAATCTTTTTGTGGCTTCCTCGTGATGGAATATACCAAGCTAAATCTTCTTTTTTAGAACCACAACTTAGTAAAGTACGCGAAGTAGCAAGATGGGTGAATGAAGGTGCTTTAATCAGTAGTAAATACTTTTTCCAAGGAGAAAAAACACCTCCTTTATTTTTCATGTTTCCATTTAAGAGATATATGATTCTAGTCTCGCGCTATAAGTACCTGTGGGAAGAACCTCTCGAAAATCATCCTGTAATAGTATGCTTCCTTTGTAGTTGGAGTGTTGTGAGGGAAGATATGTGCAGCATTAAGCATCATCCTATCAGTCACCTGAGAGAAAAGAATTGTTTCCAAGATCAGCTGACAGCAAAACAAACGAAAATTGGACGATAACGATGTAATAGTTCTGGATTTATTTAGAAGCTCACATGTTGTTCAGCATGTGCTTTGAGTCCATCGATCCAACTATAGCCTACGCCATCACTGAATTGTTCTTTCTGCCGGTACAGAATATGCTGCAGAGTACATAAAAGAACAAAACATGTTAGTTTTGATCCATACTAATCGGCAAATCAGTAGGAAAAACATGACTTTGTGGACCTTTGGGAGATAGGGTTGCTCCTCATCATCAAAAGCCTTCCTAAGAACCCACTTCTCGATCCTACCATGATCGTGTTTAATCTGAAACGGATGAAAAACAAGTTTTAGAGAACGTGCATATTCAGTTATGCTTCTCATCTCATTGACAATTGGAGCTCAGTTTTGTTACCATCTTCCATTCAGGATCGATACTCATAGCAACGTTGATGAACTCTTTATCCAGAAATGGTACTCTAGCTTCTAAGCCCCATGCTGATGTTGCCTTATTTGCTCTCAAACAGTCGTATTGGTGAAGCGCTTTTATCTGCATGCGAGTGAAAGAGCAGGATTAACATTTCTTCTCGAATTATAGCAATTTATTCCAACCCGAGACAAACAATGACAAGGAGAATCAGACTTGCCAAGGGAGCCGACGTGTTTTATTACCTTGTGACATGTCTCCACATGGAATTCTTCCTTGTTCGGAGCCTTGTGGAAGTACAAATAGCCGCCAAACAGTTCATCTGAGCCTTCCCCTGATATGACCATCTTAACTCCCAGTGATTTAATCTTACGCGACATAAGGAACATAGGAGTGCTTGCTCTGATCGTTGTTACATCGTATGTCTCGATATGGTAAATAACATCTTCAATAGCATCAATTCCATCCTGCAAAACATGAACACTTGTTGCTTTCTAGGAGGAAAACAGAAGAGACTCACATGAATAAATCGGAGTAGCAACACGATTTACAAACCTGAACTGTGAAGGTGAACTCGTGGTGAACGGTTCCCAAATAGTCAGCAACTTCTCTTGCAGCCTTGAGATCTGGTGAGCCCTGTCAGTCAGAAAAGAAAAACAGAAATTGGTATTGAATATCTATTTTCTATTATAAAGTCTCAAGACCAAAGGCGAGTCCAGTATCTAGCGTCAGTAGGCTCAGAATGAGTGTCATATTATATGTACACATCTTATATTTTCTTGGATTTGTATATATGGTTCGAACCAAAAGCAATGGGTTCAGTTGAACCCACAGAACCCGCCCCAAATATGTCTCCGCTCAGGATTGATAGTCTGACCTCGAGACCAACACAGAAGGAATGAAGCTGTGCTCCCCATTGCTTAGCAGCTTTTGTTCCAGCCAAGTAGCGAGCAGTGACAGAAGCAACCAAAGACGAATCAAGTCCCCCGGAGAGCAGAACACCAAAGGGGACATCGGTCATCAATCGTTTGATAACAGCCTGCAAAATTAACCACCACTCCTTATAGCCAAGATCGTTTGTACAGACAACTTTTTGAGTGCTAAAACCAAAGTCGAGAGAAAAACATCCAAGATTGTACACTAGATTCATTAACAAGCCTCACATTTTCGAAGGCACGTCTCAAAACTAAGGGGTCGTAAGGATTTGATGGAATAGCCTCAGAGAACCATTGAGGATTGTACCATCTCCTAAACCCGCCATTCTTGCTCGAGTACAAGTGACCGGGAGGGAAAACTTCAAAATGTTCACAGTCACCATTTAATCCTTTTAGCTCAGATGAAATCCACACAGAGCCTGAGACATAACAACACGACGAAATACCAAATAACATGTATCAAGATTCTTCAATAGTAAATAGGAATAGCTTCAGTTTTAATTTCTAACTGGAAAATTGTATAGAAAATCTTACCATCAAGTCCCCAACCAATATATAGGGGAGTAATTCCAATTGCATCACGAGCAGCAAGAAAGCTGTTATCGCGCGTATCCAACAATACAAAAGAGAACACCCCATCCAACATGTCCACAAAATTTTCTCCATATTCTTCATACTGATCAATACATACCGATAGTGAGACATCGTATAAATTTTTCTAATTTACTATAACATATTTTCCAGAGGTTATCACTATGAGCATGTTCGTTTAACTGATTAAAAGTAGTTGATTGCTATGTTGCTCGGACTCTCCGAAATGCTATCGGGCTGACATTTTCGAAGAGTCCCAACAACATAGGTTGATGAGCATCAAGTGCTAAAATGACTTTATGAATGAACAGTTACGTGTATGGATAAAAATGTTAAAATTGATAATAAGTGCTTATAAGCTAATTTGACCATATCCAAACACCCGAAATTCCTAATATAATTCACTGGCCTAAGTTGGTCAATGAGAAAAGTAAACTAACTCACAAGATGTGCAATAACATCACAATCACTTCCAGTTCTGAACTTGTGATTAGGCATAAGATTACGAAGTTTCTCATGATTGTAAATCTCTCCATTGACCTGCAAAATTTAGCACACAATCAATAATCAAATATACAAATTTTCATCCATAAATAATCTAAACAACGCGATCGTAAAAAAAAAAAGAAAAAAAAAAGAGGTAAATTAGAGGCACTCACTGTAACAACAATCGTCTTATCTTGATTAAACAGAGGCTGATCACCAGAAGCAGGATCGATAATTGCTAAACGTTGATGTGCTAAGTAAAAATCACCATGTTGATATATCCCACTCCAATCTGGTCCACGATGCTTCAACCTATGTGATCAAATAGTTACCAAAATTCAAATATTTGTTTCAATTACAAAAGGCTATTGTACTGTCACATGCAAAAGGTGGATCCAGGATTTAATCTTGATAGGTTTGACATATAAAGATTTTAAAACTGAACTCATTGTAGTTTTAAAATTAAGGTTTTAAATCTACTAATTATTGAAATTTTAGGGATTTTTCACAAATATATTTATACTAGGTTCAGATGACCCTGGTACGTAAGGGTTGCATCTGCCACCGGTCACATGTTGCAGTACTCGGAGGTGGATGGAGCACCCAGTTCAATGAGTTCAACTGAACCAGCATTTTTGATACAAAATACTGATATATATGTGAAAAATCACTAAAATATACTTCTTTGTTCCATTTTATGTGTTATTTCCTTTTTAGTATGTCCCAAAAACACTATCATACTTTTTTATTTCGAAATAGTTTAACTTTAAAATTTCTACTTTATCCTAACGAGGCGATTCACAACCACACATATATCGATGACTTGTTTAAGACCACAAGTTTAAAAAAATTTTTTTTTTTTTTCATGAACTCCAAGTTGAGTCAAACATACGGAAGGAATAACAAATATTAAAATTTTGACCCATAATTTTCAAAGTATATAATAAGTATAATAATAAGAACCTTAAAAATTGAAAACAGAAATCAAGTGTATTATGGCTTTTGCCATCACCATCATGAACAGGTCACGGTGACGGTTGGTCCAAGAAAAATTTAATAATCAATCTATAGAATTAGGGTCCGGGTTAGGAATAATGTATCCTTAATTAATCTTGTTTTATTCTTGTTCTAAATTCAAGTATCCAAACAATTACTGCCAACTCACAAGTCTTAATCTTGTTTTAAATTCAAGTAGCCAAACATCACTGCCAACTCAGGTCAGTTACAT